ACTCACTTTCCAAGCTCAGCAATCTCGTAGCCAGACTGAATGTTGGAAAGTCCAGCAGCAACAGCAGCGGTGATGAGGAGCCTGGGCTTGTTGACTTGCTTAGCTTCCTGCTCAAAGGCTGCTAGAATTTCCTAAGAGATGCAAACAAAGAGGCCTCAACATGGACCCTCTGTGGTGGCCCTTGTCAGAACTTGGGGATCTGTTCTTGTAGAATAAGAGCTTGACTAGAAGCCTTCTTTTTTCAGCCTACCTTAACGAGAACAGTGAAGAGAGACTTGTCCTGTGGCAGGCTGCCCCTAGACCCTGGGTATTCCCAGTCAATGTCAAGCCCATCAAATTCATACTGGCGCAGGAATTTGATGACAGATTTGATGAAGGTCTGGCGGTTCTCAGGAGTGGAAACCATTGCCGAGAACCTAGGGAAGCAGAGAAGATCAGGATACAAATTTGTTTGATGGACTAGATGGTCTCTAGAGGTCCCTTCCAACCTCAAACATTCTGGGATTCTGTGACTGTGATTCTGTGATTCTGAGATGGTTTGAACTCACTTGGCTGTTCCAAAATTCCATCCTCCAATAGCCAGAAGAGTCTTCAGATTTCCATTCCTGCAAAGTGGAAGACAGGAAGATATCAGCACAACAAATAAAGGTCACCAGTTTCCAAATATACCAAGAGGTGCAGCCCTTCCAGTGCCAGCTTTGCTCTGTGGCCTGTGACCTCCTGCTCCAAAGCGCTGTGAGCCAGGGCAGGGCAGGCCGAGGCAGAGGCACCATCCCTATGGGACTGGCACTTGCAGYCTGGCCTGCCCTCAGCATCACGATATGCCTCTTTCCCTCAGCATCGCTGGCCCAGGGGATGGCACTGCCGGTGTGCAGAGAAAAGGAAGGGAGAGCAAGGAGTCCTGTTTACTCTGATACCTACTGGTTCTTCAAGCCATTGAAGGACTTGTAAAGGGTCACATCATTCCATTCAATGGTCGTGATCTCATTGTTGTTCATTCCAGCAAAGGCGTAGATGAGATGGTCGCAGAGGCAGGGGTCAATGTTGTCAGGCTTGAAGCTCCCCAGGCCAGGCCTGTACTGGGCCCAGTTGGTGAAGTAACATGACAGCACATAGGCCGAGCCTGCGGNACGACATTGAAGTAGATGTAGCTGCCGGTGTCAGCTGGGCCTTTGTACAGAGGGCTGTTCTCTCCGGTGTGTCCATCCCATGAACCATGGAAGTCGTAAGTCATCACATGGAAGTAGTCCAGGTATCTGTGGAGAACATTGTGCATCTGTGTCCTGGCTTGTTGATTTCCCCAGTACCACTTGTAACTTTAGTGCTGGCTGTTTGTCTTGTGGTGTCCTTGGTGGTACATCACTGTTCTTCAGGGAACTGAGAGATGCTTCATAATGGCTCAAGGAGACTAGATGAAAATCTGTTATGACCTTCCCCACAGTGTCCACTTCTCCACCGTTCAGGCAAAGTACCCATCATGCACTCGCATTATATAGAAGATGAGCGAGGCAACAAGAAAGGTGATGGGTTTCCATTGCTTTGTGGCACTTTGTGACTTGTTTTTGCAAAGGAACCGCGACTAAGACTTTGGTATATGAGTTTGCTACTCACTTTCCAAGCTCAGCAATCTGGTAGCCAGACTGGATGTTGGAAAGTCCAGCAGCAACGGCAGCAGTGATGAGGAGCCTGGGCTTGTTGACCTGTTGAGCTTCCTGCTCAAAGGCTGCCAGCATTTCCTAAGAGATACCAAGAAAGAGGCCTCAACATGGACCCCCTGTGCTGAGTCTTCCAGTCACAGAATGTGCAGAACAATGACTCGATCAGAAACTCTTTTTTTTTTATCCTTCTACTTTTTTTTTTTTTTTTTTTTCAGCCTACCTTTACAAGAACAGTGAAGAGACTCTTGTCCTGAGCTGGGCTGCCCCTAGACCCTGGGTATTCCCAGTCAATGTCAAGCCCATCAAATTCATACTGGCGCAGGAATTTGATGACRGACTTGATGAAGGTCTGGCGGTTCTCAGGAGTGGAAACCATTGCCGAGAACCTAGGGAAGCAGAGAAGAGTGGAGATTTGGTTGGTGCTCCTTTTCTCCTCTCGCTCCCTTGTCAGGTGCAGTTCTGCGCAGGAGACAGTCTGAACTTACTTGTCTGTTCCAAAATTCCATCCTCCGATGGAGAGGAGGGTCTTCAAATCTTTATTTCTGCAAAGAGGGGGACAGGAACTTGTCAACTCAACAAATAAGGGCTTGTGGTCACCGATTGTACCTAGAGGATATACGTAAAGTACAGTGGTCCTGCTTTGCTTAAAAGACTGCTGTATGCTTTGCTCTGTAACCTGTGATCTCCTGGTCCAAAATGCAGTGATTTGGGGCAGGGCAGATCGAAGCAGAGGCACCATCCCTAGGGGACTGGCACTTGYAGCCTGGCCTGCCCTCAGCATCACGATATGCCTCTTTCCCTTGGAATCCCTGGCCCGGGGGATGGCACTGCCGGTGTGCAGAGGGCAGGGGATGAGCAAAGGAGTGTGATCCGAAAGGGAAGGGAGGACAAGCAGTCCCGTTTCCTCTGACACCTACTGGTTCTTCAAGCCGTTGAAGGACTTGTAAAGGGTCACATCATTCCATTCAATGGTCGCGATCTCGTTGTTGTTCATTCCAGCAAAGGCATATAGAAGGTGAGTGCACAGGCAGGGGTCAATATTGTCAGGCATAAAGGCTCCCAGGCCAGGCCGGTACTGGGCCCAGTTGGTGAAGTAACATGACAGCACATAGGCCGAGCCTGCGGAGAAAGGGAGGGGGAGTGACAGGGACCTCGGCTGAGCTCAGCAGAAGCTCAGTCCTTAGGTGAAAGTATTGTAACAAGATCTGGCAAGACATAACTGGGAATGTTTCCTTGCAGGGAAAGGATTTCAGAGAAAGGAAGGTATAATCAGCCTTGCTACGGTGAACTGGTTCACAAAGGAGATTTTCACCCTTTAGTCATGGCCTGAGATGCATTGAAGATTCTTCTCTTCAGAGACAGCATCAGTACTTGCCAGGGTTCCTCTCCTCTCCTCTCCCCTCAGGCTGCTTCTAGATCATAAGTTTTCTCCCCTGCTGCATATGCGCCAGTGTTGTCGAGAGTTTGGGGGAGGAGGCACATACCTATGTGGGCGTTGAGCAGGAGCACCAGACCTTGAAAGGAAAAATATGTGTGGTTAGTGTGTGACCTGAGAAATGGTGTAAGGGCAGATGTTACCAAAGCCCCCTGCTTCACACTCTGCTCTGCACCCAGGGAACGTGCTGCTGTCAGCAGAGCCTTGTGCTCCTCCTGAGCAGGAGCGCTCTGAACCCAGCATGTCCTGCAGGTCAGGAGGTATCCCCTGTGTGTTCTGTGTGTCTCCTTCCAAGGGAAGTGGAGCTCGTGCTCCAAAAGGGCTGGTCATTCTGCTGGAATTGTTCTGACAGGGCTGAGCACTCGGGGGATGTGAGGAGCCCTGAGCATGGGTCAAAGAGCAGAAGCTCTCTGGTCCAYCCTCAGCTTTTCAGGCAATAGCAGCCCTCCTATCCCTGGGACCATTTCTGCTTCTCTGAGTGTCATTTTCCTGGTCCCAACATCAGAGCTCAGTGTAAGTCCTTGTATCTCACCCAAGATAACAGCAAATTATCTATCAGTACTCATGCTAAATGAGAGCATGATGCTCTCAAGCAGGACTTACCGGTGAGCACAATGAGCTTGGCCATCTCTGCCTGGGACTGATTTGGTGCAGCCTCTTTCCCAGTTTTATACTCCTCTCTTTTCTTCGAAGTCCTAAATCAAGCAAGGAGCACAAATAACATTTTGATATTTGTTAAAGATAAGCATTGAGGCATATGATAGCAATACAATGGGCGTTAACACCTGAGCTGGAGAAATGAGTATTATCAGGCTGCCCCTTCTAATGGTGCAGCTGATTAGAGGAAGAAGGAGATTAGATGACTTTTCCTTTTATAAGTTTTGTTTATGGTGACAGGTTTGTGTCAATACTGGCGATTGTCCAGTAATAGGTGGCTGAAGSGTTCAACCTTGCGTTGTCATTGTGACTGTCCCAGAGTGGTAGGCACTACTGTACAGAAGATGGTGGACAAGGGTCTTCTCAGCCTCACTAGGCCAAGCRAGGASTGAGCGGGGTTTAGACTCTCAGAAATGGCTTATCTGGGGAGCCCGGCTAACAAGGGACACTTGAGGGAAGAGTTTGCAGGCATCACGTTGTGAAAAGTGCAGCAGCACGAGCTTCTGCGGAGCAGTTCTCCCCTTTGGACTTGGGCCTGTATCCTGAGTGTGCCACAAAGCCCCTCAGGAGAAATTACRGAATCCCCTAAATCCTCCACAGGCCGTCAGTGGTGGTTCTTGGGATTTCTTTGGAGGGCCATGCTTGGTGTAGCTTGAAAGATTCATTTTAGTGCTTTCACAGGGCTGTTTTGTGTCCAAGTGTATCTGAAAGGAGTATGACTGTTTCAAAGGCAAAGGGTTGTGCAATTAGTGATGTTTTGGAGACRGAATATATTTTCTCCAGCCTTGTTTATTCTCCAGTCCGTGTGGAGACTTGAGTCTTTTCTTCTCTTCTAGTAGAACAGTTTCATTTTTTCTCTCCCATACCACTGTCTGCTGGGGCTCGTGCAAACAGAATCACAGAACGGTTAAAGTTGGAAGGGACCTCTAGAGATCCTCTAGTCCAACCTCCCTRCTCCAGCAGGGACACCCAGAGCMCAGGGCACCTGGTCTCATCCAGGTGGCTTTTGAAGACCTCCAGAGGAGACTGCACAACCTCCCTGGGCAGCCTGTGCCAGGGCTCTGTCGCCCTCACAGTGAAGAGGTTCTTCTTYGTATGGAGATGGAAGTYCCAATGTTTCAGCTTACACCGTTATCCCTTGTCCTATCACTGGCCACCACTGAGAAGAGTTTGGCCCCTTCCTCCCTACTTTCACCCTTCAGGTATTTATACGTATTAATCAGATCCCAGCTCATCTGTCCCGGTTCCTCTGCACTGAGACTGTTCTTAGGTTGTGTTCAGACGCTGTGAAGGTGAATTTCCAGGAGGTCACCTAGACTTGGTGGAATGGGGCTCTGGGAAAATCCCACAACGTTGCCCATATCACATGCTGGCAGCAGACCCGCTGACCTACAGATTAAAATGCTTTTGACTCATATTCCAGATTTTGTGTACGCAGTGGATGAGATATGGTGGATGATTAGCAAGACAGCCACATCCAAGGAGTATTTTTCCAGGGTGATAAGGTAACAGAGTGTACAAGATGAGGCTAAGCAGACTTTGGGGAATCCCACCCTCAGTGAGTTTTGGAACCCCTGGACTCCTTTCTGCAGAGTCCTGGAAAGAAYGAGATGCAGATTTTCCTGTTCTTCACAGCCAAGCAGGGTTCAGGTGTCCTTTTCCTTCTGCTCAGCTCCAGGATCATTCCTTGGGCTGCCCTATCTTGTCAGAGCTGAGGCAGTTTGTCCGGTTTGGGCACAGGACTTGCCCAGCCTCGCGTCCATGTGCTAGGAGATGTTTTTTGGCAAACTCTCCATGTGTTGTTTTCCAGGGAGATCTTATTTGTCTTGGCCTTGCGAGCCTCAGTGTGCATAAGTCCCTGCTTTGAAACGTGGCTTTGTTCTACCTGCCCTTGCTATGGAGATTAGTCAGGTCAGTGTGGGAGGTGATCCCGAGGAGGAAGGCCAAGGTCAGTGACCATTTGGGGTGCGTTTTGGATATGAGGATCTTTGCGTTTATCTGGATGCAGAGGCCCAGGAACTGGTGTCCTGGAGTAGCACGGCTGGAGCTGTTGGCCAGTGCGGGCCTTGGTGCTGATGCACGTGTTGCCAGTGCTGGTTTTCATGTTAGAGTTGCTGGGACAGTGGTAGAGAGAGGGGCTTTTTGGTTGCGTATTTGCATGATTTGGCTTTGGGTTTCATGGGAGTCAGGGCTGCTTATTGGCAATGCYGCGATGCTGCTGAGCTGGCCTAACCGAATTCTGGAATTATTGTTTGGATGTGACAGGCCTCTGTGTTTGCCAGTAGAGCTGGGGGGAGCTACGCGGCTGCTTTCAGTGTTGGATGGGATTTTCCTCAGCACAGGCAGTGCTTTGCCACCAATACGGCAGACAATCTGCCTTGCCCAGGAGAAGGCCCAACGTTAGAGCAGCAGAAACGGTGACTCCCACTAATTTGTCTCCATAGAGGCCTTTGAAATACTGCTGTGTTGTGAGAGGAGGAAGAGGAGGAATGGTTTGTGATTCAGTCCAGAGGCCGGCGCAAGGACACATTGAGCATTGGTGCAAGTCAGGCCATGGAGGAGAGGTTGGGGGATTTGGGGGCACTGCTCCGCCTGTGAGCTGCTGCTCAGCCGCCTCAACTGTCCATGTTACTGCAGCTGTCTCAAGGCTTGAGCAGCAGGGCAGCTGGACCTTTGAGGATGAGTATGTTTGGAATGTCTTGTGGAGAAGGGGAATGCTTGTTCCTCACTCTGTGCATAGATCCTGTGGGATCTATGCATATGCATGTGTGATGGCACTGTGAGGAGTCAGCGCTCNTTTTTTTTTTTCCTGTTTACATTGCATTAGTGCTCTGGTAGATTTGAGTCAGGCATCAGCTCAGCCCCTTGTGAACTGCCCTGGACTGGGTGAGCTCCCAGGACCTCCACGCACATGGCACTGGAGGGGCCCTATGTGCCCTTGTTGGCCTCCCCAAGCCTCCATGTGCAGTGAGGCTGGGGAGGCCTTATGGCCCTTCATTCGCCTTGCTGGGACCTCTGTGTAGATGGTGCCTGGGGGGGCCCTACAGGCTGTTGTGAGGCTCCCCGGGATTCAGTGCGCACGGGGCAGGGGGGCCCTACAGGTCTCTGTGCAGGGTGCCAGGACCTCTGTGCACATGTGGCCAAGGGGGCCTTAAGGGCCCTCGGGCATCCCCGCTGTGGACTCTGTGCACACTGAGGCCGAGGGGGCCCTATGGGCCTTCGTGCCACGTCCTGAAACCTCCCTGCGCATGGGGCCAGAGGTGCCCTATGGGCTGTTGTGGGGACCCTTGAGTACTCTGTGCACACATTGGCTGGGGGGGCCTATGGGCCCCTGAGTGGCCCCCCAGTGCCTCTGTGCGCACAGGAACAGGGAGACCTACAGGCCTTCATGTGACTCCTGGGGCCTCTGTACATACGGGCCCTATGGGCTTTCATGCGGCCTCCCGGTGCCTCAATATGCACTGGGCCCAGATCATCCTATGGCTCTTAGTATGGCTCCCTGGGCTCTTCGTGTGCAGTGGGAYGCAGGGGCCCTGTGGGCCTTCTGTTGGACCCCAGTGCCTCTTTGAACACAGGGACGGACATTTGGCCGTATGTCCACATGTATGGACAATTGTGCAGCCCACCTGGGTCTCCCTGCACACGGGGCTGTAGGTGCCTTATGGGACTTTATATGACCTACTGTGACCTCYTTGCACCCTGAGGCCAAGGGGGCCCTAAGGGCCTTCATGCAGCCTCCCGAAGTCTCCATGTGGGCCGGGCCTGGGGCAGCCTACAGTCCTTCATATGGCCCCATGGATCCTCTGTGTGCATGGTTCTGGAGGGACCTCTGTGTGTCCATGATCGGGAGTGCCCTACGGGACTTCATGTGGCCCCACAGGACTTCGTGCAGTCCCACGGGTCCTCTGTGTACACAGGGCCAGAGGACCCTATGGGCCTTTGTTCAGCCTGACATGGCCTCCTTGTGCTCCTGGATGGGATTTACCCTATGGGCCTCCATGCAGCCCCCTAGGGCCTCTATGAGCATGGGAGCGGGAGGACCCTATGGGCCTTTGTGTGGCCTTCCGGGGCCTTCATGCGCACGAGGCTGGGGGTCTCTACAGGCCTTTTCAGCACCCCCCCAGGGCCTCTGTATGCTTGGAGCCAGGGGTCCTCGGGAAGCCCTGGRGCCTCTATGTGCATGGGTCCATAGTGTCTTGTAGGCCTTTGTGCAACCTGGCAGGGCCTCTGAGCACACATGGCCGGGATTGCCCTTTGGGCCTCCATGCAGCCCCCCGRGGCCTCTGTGTTCACAAACCTGGAGGCAGCCCTACAGGCCTTTGTGCGACCGCCCTGGACCTCCATGCGCATGGGGATGGGGAGGCCCTACAGGCCTGCATGTTGTGTGACGGGGTGCACATGAGATTGGGGGTCCCTAAGGGCCTTTCTGCCCTCTGTGCACTCCAGGCTTTTGTCCAGACACCGGGAACTTCATGTGCATGGGGATGGAAGAGCCCTGTGGGCCTTCATGCAGTCTCCTTGGGCCTCTGTGCACACAAGGCCGGAGGGGCCGGAGGGGCCTTAAGGCAGCCGCCTGGTGCCTCTGGGTGCACGAAGATGGAAGTCATACGGGCTTTCATGCGGCCCCCCAGTCCCGTGCACACAGAAGCCCCCAAGGGGGCCACATGAAAGTCCTTTAGAGCCCCCCTATCCCTGTGTGCACATGAAGGCCCGTACGGACATCCTCTAACACATACATATGGAGGCTCTTGGAGGCCGCATGAAGGGCCGTAGGGGCCCCCCAGGCCTGTGTGCACAAAGGCCCCTTGGGGATGCACGAAGGCTTGTTGGGATCCTGSGGCATCGTGCAGACAGAGATCCCGAGGGGACACATAAAATTCCATAGGGCCTCCCCAKCCCTGTGTGCATGGAGGCCCAGGGGGCTGTCCTGAGGCCCTTAGTGCCCCCTTGGACTCGTTCARAGAAATAGGTTTCCAGGAAGCCCCCCACAGCCTCCGAAGGCACGGGGTGGTCCTCCTTGGGCCACTGCTGCGA